GATGGAGAAGTCAATCTAGACTGAGGAAAGAGTATTAGCAGACCCAGACACCATTTACCCTGCAACTTCATCCACATCATCTAACCTGATGGAGTCTGTCTCCTCATCAGTAAAATGAGAACAAATCACATCTCACAGGGCTGCTTGAAGAATCATCATGAAAGAATGTGGTTATGTATTACGAAAGGGTAAGAAATGTCCATAGCCTAGGAATTGAGAAACTGAGGCAGAGATGCATGGCAACAAACTCACACAGGATTGAGACCAAACCCAGAACTTTTCATTTCTCCTGTAGGTTTCTACTCACTAGATCAAAAATGCCTGACTCGGGTAATACACAAGCAACATCACTTCCAAAGGTAAAGAAAACCCCCTATGGAAAAGTGCCTAATACATGAGCCTGCTCAAACTTGAAGTAGAAGTTCAAGATCATATTCATCAGATGTAACAGGAGGCATATTGGGATAATATTAATTAATTTTACTCCACCATGAAGTGAGACCCTCCAAGCAGCCTTTAGTTCTCTCCTCGAGTAATGATGTTGTGTTCCCTCAAGTGCTATATAAAGGCAATATCGGCTGCAGCGCATTAGGAGCATAGAGAGATGCAAAGTAAGCAGGAAGACTTAAAGGGATACTATTGATGTGCACATCATATTTTTATTAAATCCTTCTCTCTAAAAGACCAGTAGCAAATTGCATTACTGACTTTAAAGCATCTTTAAAAAAATGAAATGCATATTTCTCACTCCCAGTGTTACTGTGATTAGAGGGTCTGATCTCCACATGGTCTCAATAACAGAAATAAAGGATCAGATTGCTCTAAGTAGGGAAAAACATCAGATAGACAAAACAATAATCACCTTTTTCATCAACAGTTCCCCCAGGGGATGTGAATGTTGTAACAAATTTAGAAAGTTCTATATATTTGATTCTCCTATCTTTGGGCTAGGACTCAGAAAATTAGATGATGTTTCTGAAACATTTTGGGTGGACACTTTATTGAGCTGAGGACAAAGGAAACTAGTTAAATCGTTTTCATGCTGATGACTCTAATTTCTTTTATGTTAAATTTGGAGTAAGTGATACTTATTTAACAAAAGCAACAACAAAACAATAGATGTGTTGACTGCTCATACAACTGCTGCAATTCCTGAGGTCACAGAAAAAGGAGGCCTTTGTTCCTAGTAGGCATCAGGAGGGAATGTCTAGAAATGAGGTTTAAATGTCGAGCTTTCTATAACTTTCTGTACAGAATTTTAATTGAAATTTTCTTTTTGGGGACCTAATTGCTTACTCTTCTAATCCTTTAATAAGGTTACCACTTACAGCTATATTCATTATAAATACCCCTTCTTTCAACTGGACCTGTGAAAAATCAAGGGAGGTATATACACATACAGTGGGGCCTTGACTTACGAGTTTAATTCGTTCCGTGACGGAGCTCGTAACTCAAATTATTCGTATGTCAAATCAAAAGTGAACGAGTGAGACACATGATGCTGGGCTGATGTGGCGTTCACTGTGACGTTCGCTGCGCCAACTAGCGGTGGGGTATCTGAAGCTGGCTCGTAACCCGAATTTTAGCTCGCAACTAAAAGCAAAAAATCGGCTGAGACGACTCATATCTCGAAAAACTCGTTAGTCGGGACACTTGTAAGTCAAGGCCCAACTGTATATCTTCCCCCTTTGACCAAGTATTAACTGAAGTGCAGCCATAACTGTAGCCAAAGGAGGCATTACGCTTCCAGAAAAAACTCAAGGAAAAGTATTGCAAACAAAAAGTAGTAGCTGTTGGATAGGGCTCTGAAGGAACGGGTGAAGAGGTTCAACCAGTTACTGTGAAAGTGGGAGTAAAGTTCTCCCAGAATATGGAGGCACCAAAGTAGCTCTCGATGACAAGGATTATTACTTATGTAGAGATGGTGACATCCTTGTCAAGTATATAAAATGAAACAAGTCACTATGCATCCACTGAACTTCTGAAATCTTCCTCATCTAAATAATTTCCATGTCTCTCTTTAATAATGAACTAATATTTCTATTATTAGGTTACACATAGGAATATTGTATTATATTCCTATATTCCATATGTAGAAACCTGCAAGGGCCGCACAGAACCATAATATAAGAGTACAGGAGGTCCTGGGGCCAGGTGGCCAGGGATCAAACCTGACTCCGTATTAGCTGTGAGGCCTTAGGTACATCTCTTAACCTTATTACTGAGCCTCAGTTTTCCCATTTGTAAACTGGGAATAACACAAACACCTACCTCATAGGGTAGTCATGAGGATTAAATAAACTATTCCAGGGAATGGACTCGGGACAATGTCTGGCACATGAATGTTGGCCATTGTCACGCAGAGAAAGGGTGGGAAAGATGCAACATCAACCATCAAGGTGGCTGGAAACTCAGGACATCCAGCTTCCTCCTCCTATAACCCCCGAGTTTCCTTCTTTCACCTTAACACATCTGCCTCCAAATCAGTGCCCATCCTGCTCTCTCACTTCACTCATTTAACCTCTCCGAGTTGATCTTTCTCAACTAAAAAAGGAAAGATTTGAACTTGATCATCTTTAAAGTACCTCCCAGTTCTTTTTTTTTTTTTTAAGGATGTAAACTCTGAGTCTGTATACTGTGAGTAAGGTGAGACAAGGTGTTCAGGCAATGCTAAGATATAGGACCATGCTTGCATTGGCTACACCAACTGAGAAAGATGAGGATATCTACTATCCCCAACAGAAGAAAAGGAAAATCAAGTTATAGTAGTAAACATAAAACAGATAAGCGCTAGCCATCCTCAGATAAATCTTCCCATGGGAGTTTGCCTTGTTTAAACAATTCTTCATTCTTCGTTCCCTTCAGAACTCCAAGCTAGACTCTGAAATTAGGTGGGTTTTCATAACCTGTTTTAATTATGTGGATTGAATTTTTTTTCAAGTTCAAAGGTAGGCTGTCATTAAGAATTTCAGGACTACAAACAACTAGACAGATTTCAAATGACAGTATCCATTGGTCAGACATGCTTTTATTAACATGGGAGCTCACAGTTCATCAGTGAGAGGAAGTCATAATGCCATGAATCCAATATCTGACTCAAAGTAATAGAACAGATGAAGAGGTGGAGAGTGACAGCAAGAGCAGATTGTATCCCCTTAGCAGAAACCAACTGGAACCAACTATATTGGCTCTTCACACGTGCACATGCAGCAATATTAACTGTTGGGGGTTTATGCCATATTCCCTAGGAACGGGACCACATACAGATGAGGCAGGACATCCCCAAACTGGATGAGGCTGGTACTTTCGTTCTCTCACAATGAGAACAAACGCCCAGGCGAGCACGTACATATCTGAAGCAGGAGAGGAGCAGAAGCCCCGCCTGTTTCAGGTACCAGAGAAGCACAAAGGGCCCACTTGTGGGTTTCTTTGCTTGGTCCTTGCTTTTGTCTGGTTGGTTTGCTATTTTAACGAGATGTCTAATTCACCGAGGGTCTGCAAAGGATGGACCGTCAAAGCGGATCTTCCCAGACACTTAAGAGCCTGGGTGGCCTCTCTCCTCGCCCAACCCAAGCCAAATGGCAGAGCCCATGTCTCTGGACCCGTGCTTTCATGGAGGCCAAAGAACTTGACCACACTTAGTGGGAGTTCGGAATCTTCAGGTCAGCTCAGGTGAGTACTGTGCCTAATCATAGACCTGCTTGCATTTGGATGCATCCCCTTGGCTGTTAAATTGGTACCTGGAGCAAGAAAGGCCAACCTCAACATGCAGTCCCCCTATGGCCAGGCGCCCGCGTTCCTGCCAAGTACAGCAGCCCACGCCCAGATCAGTTCCCTGGACACCCCTCCAGGTGTAGCCATGGGAGGCAATTAGCTAGGCACTTCCCCGGGCACTTCCCCTTAGAGTTGAGCCAGAAGCCAGAAGCCCCCCATTCTCCACACAGAGCCCGAAGCAAGCTCAGTCCTCACACTGGGGCCAGGCCACTGTGGGGGTACATGCACAGACACGGCAGAGGGGCAGGCTACCCGGGAGTCACTCTCACACTAAGAAGGGGGTCCAACCCTCCCCCCCAAAAAAAAACCCCACAAAAGACAAGGTAGGTGGGGGTGGGGAGGGAAGAAAAGAAAGTAAGGGGAGAAAAACAACTATGATGGTTTGCCCTCATGGTAAGACAGGTCAGCCAAGACATACCTTTTGACTAGGCCCGCACAGCTGTTCACTCTTGGGACTGCCAACAAGGTGGGTGGTCTTCTCCATCGCCCCAGGGGCCTTGAGCAAGTGTGGCTTTGGTTTATTGCAGGAGATGCTATTGGAAACATAAAACAAAGTGCCTGGAGGGCACTATAAAAAATAGGATACGGGAGGACTTGATCATCCAATGGGAATTTCTACGTTTGTAAAGAGGGGTGCGGGGGCAGGGAAATGTACTTCAGGTAGCGTTCTTTCTTCCACGAGCGCAGCTCGGGTTGCTGAGTCCACGGCTTTCTGCTTACGTTCCGTTCCTGCATTTGGAAATCGCTCTTCACCAGGAGGAAAGTGAGGGGAAAACCAAACCAGCAGCCACCGAACAGTGGCTCCGCTGATGGAGAAGAGGAGCCCAGCAGACGCTGCTGGGGGGGACCCAGGTGCTGGAGGGAGGCACACAGCAGCCCGCACTTCTCAGCAACTGCTGACATTTTCTCGCAAGCAGGGAGGAAGGCGGAAAGGTCAGGGATGAGAAATGGGGAGGGGGTCTGCCGAGGGGAGCCAGACACTCCGTGGGGTACAGAGTGCAATCATCTCCCACCGAGGAACTCCTCCTGCCCGGGCCTCCTTGAATCAATCCTCCCCCAGTGGCTTCCTTCTAAACAGGGTATTACTTCAATTTCTTTGATTTTCCTTCATTCTCTCTCTCTCTCTCAAAAAAAAAAAAGTCAGTTTCTAATAATAGTTAGAATATATAAATAATAATTTATTTAATGTAATTGGTTCTTTGTTTCCAAACCCAATATTCCTCCTCTCCTCATTTTGCCAATAAATAGGAACACTGAGGAAATCAACTCTGCTCATATCAAAAAGATCCCCTCCCCCGAGAGACAGTTCGCCTAACTTCTCATTGCTCTGGAAAATAAACAGCACATCACGAGGCCATCTCTCTGAAGGACTAGTTTGCTCTTTTGTTCTGTTTTGTTTCAGTAGTTTGTGCTTCTGCTGTACATACTCAAAATCGAGGGCAGGGGGGAAGGGATGGGTGGAAGGCAAGAGGAAAAAGCAAGGATGAAGGGAAAACCTAAGGTTGTCTTTCATTTTTTAAAAAATGTGTCAGAACCAGAACAATGACCAAGTCAGAGGGTGATGGCTAATTGCCCAGAGAGTCCATTCATGGGTTTAGCAACTGCCCTTTTTGTCTGCTGTGGGCGAGCCCCGGCCACTGCGGCGTCCTCGGCAGGAGTGAGGCTCTTCCAAATCGTCCTCATCAAAGCCGTGGAAAGTTGAGGTGTCACTTTCTGATGTGGAACCGAATAAGTCCTCCGTGGTGCGTGCTGCAGCCGCTGCCTCCTTCTCCTTCCTGCCTTCTCTTCCCAAATGAGCTGACATGTATGATGAATATATCAGCACATGGGTTAAGCAACAGACAGCATTATTAATATTCTTATTATATTATCACAACATTATGCTTCATAGCAAGATCATAAACCATTTTCACCAAAAGAGATTAACTGGGTGCATCACCTGGCGACAGGGATTTGGGGTAAAACGACAAAGCCAACATTTCCAGGGAAAAGGATTCCTCACTCCCTGAAAAGGCATCATCTCTACCATAACATGTACGTCCACAGCTCTGAACGTGAGTGAAAGATTCCTCACGAGATTTTTTTCCTCTTCTGTATGCACGCACATGCGTGTGCACACACACACACGCACACGCACACACACACACACACACACTCACTCAGCCCCACCCCAGACAATGAGTTGACTTGGTGGGTGTTAGCCCGGCTGGTGTTTCTTTGGTGTTTTCCATGGGTGTTTCTTGCACAATGTGTGTCCTTCACTTTGACAGGCAGCTCTGCAAAGGTATTACTGTCAGATAACCCGTTCCAGGCGGTTAAGCCTCCATCTGCTTTATTTTTGTTTTTACCTGTGTCTAATCCCACTCTTTCAGTACCCGTTCAATTCTGCCCTTACACCATGTGGCTCATTTGCACTGAAAGCAAAAAGAAGCTGAAAAGTCCGACATGTGGTAGGTAATAAGAGTCTCTCGTTTTCTTTAACCACTGGAGGACATTATTGTGATCTGCACTCACATACATGTGCCCACAGATACATGTGTGTGCACCCATGCACATGCATGTGCACACGCACACACACTCCAGCCACAACACACGCCCAGGACTTCGTTACCCCAGAAAGTCCAGAGTTGTCAAATCTAACTCAGAGCACTAAGAGAGTGAAAAAATAGGAGTTATTTCCTGAAATTTGTACAACTCAGGTTTAAACTGTTTACATTCTAAATGGGCCCCAGGATTACCCCCAAATAAGGTCACGATAGGCCAGTTACGGTGCCAGGATCGGGAATCTCATTTTCTCCCCTGGAAACAGGAAGTGGGATGGACTGGGAGGGAAAGAGAGCTCTTCCAAGCTCCACACTCTTCATTGGAAAAACTCCAGGAGGCCCTGGAGAAGTATTTGCCCCCTATCTTTACAAGCACATCCCATGGGTTAATGCCACCTGTGTATTCCCAAGGTATCAACTGTTTCAGGAAAATCAGAGGCAGACCTGGACTAAATTAGTCACCAAAATTAATCCTTGGCAAATGCAATGAGAACACCTAGGCTGGTATAAAATGGTCCCCTGAGTCACACAGCAGACAGATCCTGGGAAGAAAAAGCTGAGTAAAAGGCTGTGAAGAAAAAGGGTTTGGATAGAAAAAAAAATCAACTGCCCACGTCTGGTCCCCCATGAATCAGATTCAAGTACCTCATCTTTTATAGGGAAGGAAGGGAAGGAAGTAGTTTGTAATGAGGATCCTGAAGCTGCCCTCTCTAGCACGTCCCCCGCGGTCCATAGCCTATAGCATCACACCAAGTGACTTCGCTTCTGACAGTCGTTCACTTTAAAAATACTGAATTGAATTTCATTTGTTTCATTTTCTTTTTAAATATCTAAAACCCAGAGTCCACTATCACACAAGCCCTCTTTTCTAAACTGGCACCAGGAGAGTAAAAGGTTCAGCTTTAGGTATCATGTTTGCAAAGTAAATGAACTGACAGGGTTGCAGTGGGCCACCCTGTCAGGGTCCTTAAGTGTTACATGTTGAGATTTGCACGCAATGGAAACCACTCCTTTTTAAATTACTTCTCAAGTCAGTCTTGAATCTAAACAACCCAAAAGCCAAATGAAGTAAAAAAAAGAAAAGAAAAAAGACTAGCGCTAAAGTTTGTGGACCAAGGAAAGGAAGAACAGAGTTGCTCCGGTACACCCAGGTGTGGTCACCTCGGCCCTATTCTTGGAAGTAGGAGGAGAAAGGACACAGGGAAGCGTGTGGAAGGAGCAGGGCCTCCTCGCTGCTGGATCCAGTGTCCAAATGAACTGCATCTCACCTACAAGAGTCCATAGTTGAGGAGACTAAACACAAGTCTGAAATCTCTCGTTGGCCTAGTTATGACATAAAAATCTACGAAAAATTGGTAGTACAACCAACCACAACCAGCCAAAAGTAACGGTTTGGTTAGAATTAAAAAACAATCAACAGCTTGAGCAAAACTTGAAAACCTGAATTCATTTTAGGAATGAAAGGACAGGATCAAAGTCTTTTTTTATTTTAGTCTTTGGAGAGGTTAGAAATGAAAATTTCGAAACAGGCCAAGCCAACTTCAGATTAGCCCTAAGAACACTGCCCTTTTGACTCCTTTCTCTATCAGGGTCTCTTTTTTGGTTCCACATGAGAAAATGGGATGAGCAGCCAATGGATGCGATATTTATGCTACTACCGAGCAGCGCAGGGGTCTCTGACTCCCACAACTCAACATGTAGCTGCTGCCCCAGTATTCATGTTTCCGTACCTTCCAGTGCGCCCAGGCACTTCCGCAGAACAAACGCAGCTTTGTGTTACATGTACAGCACCCGATACAAGAAAGTGTTGCGTGTGTCTCCAGGTGTCCCCACATTTCTCACAACAACACACACAAAGAAATATCCACTTCATGAAAAGGCCAAACACAAGACCAGAATTTCTCCCTTCCCTTTTCCCTGGCTCCCGAGGCATGATTTCTTGAGATCCAAAGTAGAAAAATATCCAATGACCTGAAAACTCCTCTGTACTTGAAATCGTCACCACCACCAACTTCCCCACCCCACCCTCCACCCCACGGCAGATGGCAGAGGCGTGCGGGGGGACAGCTGCTGGTCTATGGGCACAGGTGCAGGAAGGGGCCGCACTCACCAGAGCGTCCGCAGTCTGCACAGGACACCAGCTCTTCAGGCCGCCCACTCTTCTTGTTCATGTTGGAGCCTCCCAAGCAGAAGTCACAGTAGTTATTAGGAATGACTGTCCCATCCGGTCCTTTCTGGGCTGTAGAAACATTTTTTTAATTGAATTTTAGACTGAGATCAGTTTCCACTGCCCCCTCTTCACCCACAGTCTGGCAAAATCTGCTCCAGAAAAAAAGATGAAGTTAGAATCTGAGGTTTTGTTACGACCAAGTTGTTAACTTGAGCTGGGGTCTTTTTGACCCTCCTCAGTTTAATAGTACCAGTGTTGCCCTGGTCAGTGTGGCTCAGTTGGTGGAATGTCATCTCATGCACCGAAAGATCCCCAGTTCGATTCCCCGTCAGGGCACGTGCCTAAGTTTTGGGTTTGCTCCCTGGTCAGGGGTTGCATACAGGAGGTGATCGATTGACGTCTCTCTCTCTCACATCAATATTTCTCTCTCTCCCTTCCTCTCCCTCTAAAATCAATAAAACCATGTTTTAAAAATAGTGTCAATGTTTCGCAAGCCACCCGGTTTACTTTGATTGTTGCAATATTTCCCAGCTCTGCGTTTTAGAAGAAACAAGCCTGTTCCTCTGATTGCATCCCTGGATGGGCACAGCATCCAGGCCTGCTAGTCAAGTGAACTGCTCTCATCCCTGAACAAGCAGCTCTCAGGGCCAAGGCCCCAAACAGCAGATGGCAGCCATAAACAGTGGTGTGACGAGAGAGAGAGAGAGAGAGAGAGAGAATATGAGAGGAGAGAGAGAGAGAGAGGGAGAATGGTCGATGCTTAGGCCTTGCCCTTTGGAAAGATGCTTTTGTTTAGGAGACAGTCCTACCATCCCTGGAAAGGAAAACAAAGCAGCATTCATTTCCAGAAAGGACACTGCAGATGCTCTTGGGGACTTTGATGAGCATCTTGGCAGGGACACAGGTGTTCACTCTTGCTCAGCTGTATCTCCCTAAAGTCCAGACTCGCTGGTCATGGAAAGCACCCAGGACTAGATAATCAGCAGACCCCAAGTGCCTAGAATCAGACTGGACACTTAGCTGAGCCTCAGGCCAGAGATGGACTGAAAAGCGAGTTAGTGAGTGTGTCTTGAGGCTTAAGATCCTCATAAGCCACCCATGATGAAAGTCCATGCAGACAGAGAAAAATCTTGGAACATTGTCTTAAAACAAACGCTTATGAGAGCACTCTCAGTTTCTACTACCTGGTGTAAAGCCTTGCACAGGTTCTTTGCCTCGGGAGAAACTCCCCCATTTCCCTCTGTTTCTCTGGCCCTATTGTGGACATGTCTTTGTCACATTAACACTCCCTGTTTGCGAGTAGAAAGAAACGTCTCTCCATTTATGGGATCAGCCTAAACCACGGGGGCATCTTCCTCCTCGAGATACCCATGTCTGCTATCTTTCATTATTCACTGGCTAACATTAATCAGGGTCCCGTAGGGTACGAAGCTGTAAAAGGAAGCAGATATGTGAGCAGAAATACTATCCAGACAGTAAGTGATAAACGGATTCACCCACTTTAATGCGATTCCCTCTGGCCTTTGCTTCCTCCATGCCTCTGCTTTGCCTCCAGGAATAGAAAAACTTACCTGGGAAAGGCAGAAGACAAAAGCTTGCAGAATCACATTAGAGGGGGTTAATCCATTTATCAGTTGCTATTTGGATTGTTTAATCAGTTTCTAAGTCATTGATTTTCATCTTCAGGGAGGCAGACAAGTCTCTGAAAGAAAAGTGTTGGCTGTTTGGGGGCACACAGGGGAGCCCGCCACACCCTGTCATCAGTCTCTGTATCTCAAAGGCATCTGCATGTCACAGAGAATCGTTTTTGCAAATCGCCCAAAACCAGTACATCTGCCTATAACATTTTCATTGCCCAAATCCAGAAGGAAGTCCCTTTCTTCCTTCTCTCTCAATTGCCATCTTAACCATTTCTGGAACTCTCTTAAGAAAGCCAGGCACGTCTATGAAGCAAGTAAACTCAGGGTTTCCTGACCAACAGGCTATCACGGAAATCAGTCAAAAGGTGGACAAAAAAAAGTGGGGTGCATTAAATGTAGGGGCTGAGTGTAAACAAAAGTTAAATTTCAGGATTGGTATGAACTAGATAGAAAATGTGGAGATGCCAGTTACAACTTAGGTAGCTTCCCACATAAAAATCAATAAAAAAAAATCTCACGTGTATCATTTCACAAAAACTCTCAGGAGGCCCTATCTCACCATTTGTCTCTCTCCTGTTCTCTTAGGGACCTCTTATTATGTCAGATTTTTTCTGCCCTTTCACAAAATCTTTTAAGCAACCAAAGAAGCTGGTTGTCCCCAACCCACTGTATCACTTGTGAGTTATGAGGAGAAGGAAGTAGAATATAGAGTATAAGAACTCCCAGATAATCCTTTACAGTTTTTACCACCAGCAGACCATTGGTAGAACACCCAGACCATTAAATCAGGGATCCAATACGGCAAGAAATAAAAAATTCAGAAATGATCTAGTAGAGCAAAGAAGACAATGATGGAGAAACGGATCCTATATAAAAAGACCAAAGGAACAGAATTTAATTCATCTGATGAAGAGAAATTTCTGAGGAGACTGAATCAGAACAGGGTCCCCACATATTTTGGTGTCGGTTATTGGCCACAGAGAGTGCCAGGCCCAGGGGTGAAGAGGTGCTACAATCTTTGTAGGCCCTGGTGTATGCAGCTGTGACATGCTAGAAGTGGGGGAGGGAGGGGCTGTATTTTAGTAGAGCAATGACCCAGGATAGGAAGGGATACTGAATGGTTACACTTCATTTCCAGCAAAATCCTTTCTGCTTCAGTTCCTACTGTCTTCTCATGACAGTAAGCTCAAAGCTTTCTTCCATCTTGGTAAAATGGCGTAGAGTAGACTCATAGATAGCCTTCGCACCTAGTTCTCATACACGTTTTGGTATTTAGGATCGGTTTCGGGATGAGAGTTCTCCCATGGAGCTCTCCCAATTCCCCAACCAGGCTTTGGGGCGGGCACTCTGCTGACACTTCTGAGGTTGCTTCTCTTGCTTATGCATGTGTACACCTGCCTCGTCACCCCTATTAAATGATCGACTCCTTCAGGTCAGGGACCACGTCAAACACATCTTTGGAACACCCACGGGCCTGTGCACAGGAAATGGTTAACAACATGTGGGATGAAGGGTTCAGAAGAGAACGGCAGAGATGCAAGCAGGCAGCACAGTGATACCACCCCTGGGACTTCCCAGCAGGGACAGAGCACTGGGCTGGCTTTCTCTGGGGCAGAGTTATCTGTTGTGCTGAGTATCATTCACTGCTTGGTTTATTTCCCTCGTCCTCAGAGCAGAGCTGGTCCATGTCCAGAGAGATTGGTCAGTCATCTCTAACTCCCAGAGAATACAGGAGCGGTAGCTGAGAGCCCTGGGTTGCAGCAAGAATAACACTGTGCCCCTACTATGGTAGGTGAAGCACCATCTTACAGGCAAACAACCAAGAAAAGTTTGTAAGACTACATTTCATTGTCTCTTGAGAAGGGGACACCAGGTTGCATCTGCCCACTCAGCCTCCCTCTTGTTCAATGGCTTTTCGAGAAGAAAAAGCAGCAAACGTTTATTACACAACAAAACTGTGATGGATGTTACGCTGGATGCTTTACATATGGTATTTCATGGATTCTCACACACAAAAAATACTTTGTGAAGTAGGGATTATTTGACAGATGAGGTAACTAAAGTCCAGAGATTAAGGGCTGGCTCCGGGGTTCACCTCTAGGTTGTCTGTGTCCCCAGTGTTTGCCTCCTGGGCAAACACTTTCAGACCAACATTTGCATATAAAATATTTCAGAAATCTCTTCATTCACCTAACCCATTATTTAGGAATCCCAAAGCAATCAAAGTTGAGGTTGGCCTGGTAAAAGCGGAAATTCCCTTTGAACTGAAACTTAATGTCCCTCTCACAGGGATCCATCCCGGTGACCTGCTTACTGTCATATGCTCTGCAGAAGAAACACTTCTCCGGAGAGTCCAGGGGCCCGGGGAGGGATTTTTTTAAACTAAAGCTCACACCACGGCTCCGTTGGCCTATGGCCTGACCCAGGGTGAGCAATTTCCTGGTACTGTATCTGAGATCATTAGAAAAAGGATTTTACTATAAATAGGAAGCTTGCCCAGACCTTGCAAGTGGGATTTAAATAGAGATTCTGCCCCTGCTTATGGGAAATTGAGTCCCGCTTTATAGAATAAGATGACAGTGAGGGCAAAGGCCCGAGTGGTATCTCGGTGGCAGCGCCCGCAATGATGGACTTGGTTTTCTGTTGATTAATGCTCATGGGCTGAGATCATATAAGAGATACAAGGAAGCTGCTGAGAAAATAAAGTGAGCCTGAAGAGTTTAGGAATTTATCTGGGCAGATAACTCCAAAAATCTCAATGAAAGAAAAGAATAGAAATCAAGAACAAAGTTCCTGAGGGGGATGTGGGGGACTAGAAGGTAGAGGGAGCATTCATATAAATCAAACCAAGAGAAAGAACAGCCAAGCCCGAACTGTCCCACCACCACTCTCAGGAAGGGTTACGCAGTCGTTCTGGAAAATGCACACTATGGGATTTTCTACCTCAATCAGGCCGTGTCTATGGCAATCACGGCCCCAACTCTTCCATAGAACTACCACCCAAACAGGGCTGCCTTTCTCCAGTTCCATCTGATCTCTGCTGTGATATGCCTGCCACACATGAAGGAATGGGCGGCAGGGACAGTCTGGCATCAGCAACAGCCCCTCATCCGGCTCTTCCAAGACCTGAACTCCGTCCCAAGTGTCCTAGGGAAACAGGAAGCCAGCCAGCTTAGGCTGCTCCAGGGCACATCCACAAAAGCGTGACTTCACATCCTGAGCAGACGCTCAGGACCGCCTGCCAGGGCCTGGTGTGTACAAACACGTGGCCGTGCTCTGTGCCCGCCACCCAGCCCTGACCCAGCCCCGGCCCCAGTCCAGCAGTGGTCTCCCGGGGCCTGCTAGTTGGAGTGCACAGCCCTTGGGGAACCGGGGGGCAGTGAGAATCCTCCAGGAAATGTGCCTCTCCTGTCCCCCCACCACCCTCCA